CAGGTTAAACTGAGTCTGTTTCAGCTCCTGAACTCATGTTTCCACTTCTGTCTGTAACTTCAGCTGGAACAGAGCTCATTTAGTGGAAATCTGAGCTGATTCTGGAGGCAGAAAGCAGGAAGTAGTTTCCTCTCTGGTTCTGATCAGAGTTTCATAGATGGAAAACCTGCTGCTGATCAGGATGCTGATCTGAAGCATTTTGAATGGCATTAAACAGTCCAGATGTTGTCCTCCAGCTCAAAGTGGCTGTTTCCTAAAGCAGAAAGTCTAAAATGATCCTAGAAGTTCCAGCTTCTAGTCGACTGCTTTCAGCTCAAAGTTTCCTTCATTTCTGGATGCTGGAACAGAGCTAATTTACTAACAGAGACATTAAAAGGGTTAACCATTTTGATCTAATGGAAAGATGCTCAGTTTCAAACCCATTCATGTATTATATCGTCGTTTGTTGCATCTTCATCAACAAGAGATAAGCAAAAAATGGAGAAAAATATATACGGCTCCAAATGGGCAGAATTACTGTAACGAATCTGGAGATAAGTTAATACCCTCATCTGGATTTTTATAAAAGCTCTTTCCGATTTGTGAAAATGCAGAAAAGGGCTAATTCACTTCAGCCTGAGCTAACATTTCCTTTAATATCGCACCAATAATTGAATGTTCTCCAGTCCAGAATGTGACAGATAAAAACTGTTTCGTTTAACAAAATAAGGTAAAGTTGGTTTTATTAAAAAGCAGCTGAATAAACTGACCATCTATGCAGCTTTCAATAAACCCAAACCCCTCACCAGGACTCTGACAGGACAAATAGAGGCGTCAACAACAGCCAGCTAGCATCACACCGGAGGGGAGCTACACCGTTAGCATTACGCCTCTGGACCTCTGCTGCTATTAAACGGTAAATAAAGTGTTAACGGGGGGTAATATTTCTAGTCAACGTCTCCCCGTCTCCAGCCACCATCCCTGCCTGTAAACAGGGGCTTTCGTAAGCAAAACCCACCCTTCTCGCTAGTGTTAGCATGCTAATTAGCGGCTAAGCTAGCCATGTTCCCAACTGGTGTCATTTCAGCATAACCGATCATTTAAAATAAATAAATATACTATTTGATACTCACGGTTCAGGTTATCCTGATCCCAGTGCACCTTCTGAGAGAAACCCGGGGCATATACGGGGCGTTTCTCTCCGATGTTGACCAGCCAGCTAGCGACGGGGAGCTAGGAGGAGCTAACGGCTAAGCTAGCTGTTTGGCTAGCCGTAGCGGTTAGCCGCGGAGCCCGAAAAACACGACCCCTAAACGGTAAAAAAAAAAAAAAAAAACCGCGCACCGGGGCCTCGGGCTGGTTTTTTACACAACCACCAAGGGAAAAAAAGCAACCAGCAACAAAAGCAGCGACCAGAGACCCGAAAAGTCTGAAAGAAATCAGCGACTTTCTGTCCGTCCGCGGCTTGTTTACAGTCCAAACCGTCGCAGTGACTCTGCAACAACGCAGCGCTGCCTACGTCACGGACCGATGACGTCACTTCCGCTCGTCCGGACCCCAAAACCAAAACAACCATTTCTGGAAGCATCTGGAAGAAAAAAGGGCAGAAAAACGTCTTCATGACCGTGATGAAGTGTGATGAGGGGTTTTGTTAATCTCCCTTATTACAAATTTCTTCCGTTTGTTTGGTAAATTTATCTCACACACAAAAGCAAATTACTCCAAAAGTCCACCCAACTTTGTATGTTTGTTGATTAATTTCTGAACTCCCTCACACTAACTGACACTAAACAAAGCACTACGTCCATACATATATACGAGTTTATTCAAAGAAGAATAATGTATTTATATAATGTTTTTGTCATTTTATCTTTTCTTTATCTATGATTAAAGAGGATTAATCTATGATTTGCTAACATTACTAACAACACTACTCTACTTTGAGTTACTATGTTTTTATTCTCTATTTTTCCGTATATTCGCTCACTTTTCTGCTGTTCTATATTCAATTTTTTTTATGTACAAGCTTTATAAATACATTTCACTGAATAAAGACCATCACCTCCGTTTGTTTTCTTTATTTAATAAATGCAAAGTTGACTAAAGTTAATGTGACTGAATAACAAACGTACATGTATTTAAGAAAAAAAATCTATTTTATGTGTGGAGTGTTGCATTCATAAAAATCCAACGAGATGTGACCAAAAACTAAACCAAAACGCGAGAACTGCTGGGTGGGTGTTTGGGAACCAAAATGATTCCCAAACACCCACCCAGCACCCGAACAATGCAGTAAAAACGTAAAACCATGCTTTTTTTCACATTTTTTTAATGTCCAATGTGCATAATCCGTGTAAATGTCCACAAAACGCAGCAGTTTAAGAAGGTGGTGTGGTGAATTTTGGGATGATCGTCTTTAAACAACTCCAGTGGAGGTGCTGCAGGAAAAACTCTGCTGAGGCAGAACTTGGTGGAACAAAAAGAGGATTTTATTGTCAGCCAGGTCCCAGTCAGAGGTTCAGATTGATGCATCAAGTCTGAGGAGGTCTCAGAGAAAATCTGTCCCACTCTGGGTGTGTCTGCCCTTATATCTGGTATCTTTTTGCCTTACGTCAGACTGTTTTCATCCAGTTGTGCAGCCCAAATATAGTTCTATCCATATCATAAACCTTTTCCTTTTCTGATCCACCACCAGGCCGTCTCCCTCCAGACGTACATCTAGGATACACCTTGTCTCTATCATGAAAATCTTCTTTTTTGCCCTCTTTCGGAGGTCTCCATATTTCCTCCATAGCTTCATTTGTACGTTCAGATCTATATTTTTAAAGATTGTCCTTTTTAGTTTTATAATTTCTTTTCTATATTTTTATTTCTACATTGTATGTCCTTTCTTGCTTCTCATCGAAGTGTTGTGTTGTGCACCAAACACCAAAAAGGCAAATTCCTTCTAAGTCTAAAAACCTACTTGGCAATAAACCTTATTCTGATTCTGATTCTTATTCTGATCCTGATCTTCCCTACGCTCTACCTGTGTTTTCTCAAATGTTTCTGTTCTACGGACAGAACAGTCTGTGTTTTACTGTGAGTTTCAGACACTGAATTGGCATCTTTACTAAAAAGTTTCTCTTTTAACCCTTGTGTGGCGTTCATATTGTTGTTACTCAGCCAGTGTTTGTGGGTCTGACGGACCCGTTGCATTTTGTGGCTTTTAATGCCTCAAAATCACTTTTATATCAAAACACTTTTATATTAAAATACTGAACAGATGTTGACCTTATCTTAACTTCTCTCTATCTCATCCAAAATCAATTCCAGGCCCTCTGGGCAGAGAACCTTTTGACCCTCTTGATCGGTCTCATAAGAAACCCCACTAGCTAAACTATACCAGTGTGGCCCCGCCCCCAATTTTTAGCAGATAGACAGAAAATTAGAGCAGACAAACAATGTGTGTGAACTGTTTCTTTTTTTTTTGTGCACCTGCAGTTCCCACGCAAGGTTGCAACATTGTGAGTGCGTTTGTGTGTGTGTGGTTCACAGAACATCAATTTCCACACTTCATTTAGCCGGACATCTTATATGTAATAGAAATGTGTAGGGGGGGGGGGTGTACGGTGTGTGGTCATTAAATATGAATTCCGATATATGTTCTTGACAGAAAATGAGCCAAAGCCAGTGAGTCTCAGTTTGAAAAATTAATTCATTAAACTGCTGAACAACAACTATTCCTGACCAGCCGGATGCAGTTCCGGCCTGCGGCCGCCAGGGGGCAGCAGCAGCCGGACCCTGAACGGCCCTGCGGGGTGTGTTCGTCTCTTTTCGGGGGCCGAAGAGAGCCGAACGGCAAACAGAGACGGCCCGAACCGAAAGAGCCAAAGCAAACTAACCGGTTCGGCCCCGGAGCGGCTCAGCGCACAAAAGCGACAGAAACCGGGGCGGATCTGGCGCGCATGCGCATTCGCGGCCGGGCCCCCGCGCCCTTTGTGCGCGCTGAACAGCTCAGGTGGAGCAGAGCAACGATTGTTGTCCAGACACGTTTTATTGTGGAGAAACTGAGCAACCGGAGAGGATTGTGGGCGACTGACGTCATCTGTGGGAAGTCTCTTTTAGCTCAGGTGTGTAAACAAAAGGATGAATTCCACCCGGTGAGTTTCCCCTGAACGTGTTTCTGAGAACACACACGCTCAATCTGTGTGAGTGTTTTCTACCTTACAGACCTTTAAAAAGTTTACATTTAATTTGATATATTTTTATCTAAAAGGCTGCCTTGTGTCAGCCTGCCTAGCCACCAGGTGGCGCTATTGGCTGATAACGGAAGGAAAAAATAGTAAAATGCAAGAAAATTAAGGAGGCAGAGTTCTGAGACTTCTGAAGAAAACAAGAGTTTGTTTCACAAATTTTTGAAATATTAGACTTCTGGTGTGCTCCCATGATGCACCTCTCCCTCTTCCCATGATGCACCTCTCCTCCCTCTGGACTCCCGTGATGCACCTCTCTTCCCTCTGCTGCTCGACTGATTGAATTTGATGTAAAAAAACAACTGATTTCACCACTTTTCCTTTATCAGAAACACTTTGTGACAGAAAATAAACTCCTTTTCATCCCATTAACTCAAAGATCGGAAGGTAAGAGTCCAAAAGACTTTGCGAGAAAGAATCTGGAAGTAAAGAAGCCCAAATAGATTCTTTTAGGTCCGTAAAAGCTTATGGTGAACTGGTTTAAACTTCAAATGAACCGTTTCACTTCTGAACCGGTTCAAAATTCAGCTCATTTCAGTGTTTTTAATGCGTCAAAAGTGAGATTTAAAGGCTGAAATCGTGAGGAAGCGTCGTCTGTGTTTTTTCCTGTTGAGTTAGGGTTATTTCTGAAAGTTCCAG